ACCAACACCAACACCTTACTCACCACCAATGCCTTCTCACTCTAAGATAATCCTAACCTTTCAGTTGAAATCACGTAAAATTTCACCTATAATCACCTTGAAATCCTTGAAGTCTCTAATCGTTACATACATAATTTCATAATCCCTTGAAATATGTTTTTAAGCCTTTTCGTTTTTTCAAATATTGAAATCTTCTCAATCTTGAAATGAGTTGGTGAGGTATGTGGTTGCTAAAGTATGAGTTTCATCTTAACTCTCCATTCTTTCTTATGTTCGGGTTCAATTGCAGGCTTTTTTTGATGGAGCTTGCTTAGGAAGGATTTGATGGGAATGATGTTGAAAATTGTGTTGTAGAAGCCCATAAGATGTTCAAGGAAAGTGCACATAATGTGTTTATAGAAATACCCAGGAGACAATAGGAGGCGAGTATAAAGCTAACGTAAAAAATATAATTATAGTGAGTATAAAATCATAATAGAAGTTTCAAGAAGGTGCAAAATATGAACTGTACGGTTTTGTTGTTCAGTTTTATCAACTCAATAGGTACTTATGATTCTCATGTTATTTGGGAAAATGATTACATAATTTTGATGTAAGATTTTTTTTTCATAGGTCAAGAACATAAAGAGGCCACTACATCTCAGTGTATTTAAATATATATAATGTGCAAACTTTCACTCTTCAGCTGTATATACACGTTATAAAGTAATATGATATGCATTGGCCAATCATGATTCAAACTCAAGGGTGTCCAACTTGAATAATGTAACAAAATAAAAAAATAAAAATCAGTTTTTTCGGTTGTCGTGCTGTCAGTAATACTTAAGAAAAGAAAACTAATAAATGCCATAGAATAGTATTCAATTTATAGTATTCAAATAAAGAGTTTGTTTATTGTTTCTAAAAGAATGTAATAATAGCTGAAATAAAGAGTAATTGTCACAAACTTATACACATAGATCAATATAAATATTTCAAATTAACCAAATAAAAACAAAAAACATCAGATACATCAATAAATATATAATAAACAAATAAATATTTAACATAAATTCATTGATTCAAGTTATGAATATGATTATAAACAATATAAATAACCCACCCAAAGAAAATAATGTTTGGAAAAAGACAAAACAAAACTAATAAAAAGTTCAAAGTGTGTGCACACACCACCTCTACTTTACAATAGTTAAGAATATTCATAAAGAATCTAATTATTATAAATATCATTATATTAATTTTTATTGTTATTATGTGTTTTAACAATATTCTATCTATTAATAAATATGATGTTGAATCACATACGGATAAAACTTATTGATACTCTTGTATCTTACAATATATAATCGATCCATAATTTACGTGTCCCAAGTCAAGTTGGTCGACCAGAATTTGAGTGAGTTAACTATAAGCAACATTATATATAGTTGCATTATTGACATGTTAATTATTTCAATATACCTTATTAAATTAAATGTATGTTACATATTTTTGCAGATTTTCTGAATGAAACTAACTGCCGAAACAACCTATTCATCCGCTTTGTGCAGATACACAGACTAGTCTAATTAATATATGGAAACCTACATACTTGAGATTTTCTCATAAACCGTAATATAATCGAATCTCCATTTGTAGTATTAGTGAAATTCTTAAAACATATTTTATATTTTATGTTTGTTCTACACAAGGTGTGATTTCCATGTGTCGTAATATAAGAGTTTTACTTTTATCATACCCTCCAAATTGTATAACACCATAGAATTGCTCAGTTATTAAAGAGTGGTGGATCAGAATGTTTTTGAGGATAAGTCGATAACAACAAAATTTTTAGACAATGTGTTATAATTTAATTACTAATTTGTTATCCTTTTATATTATACACATATATAGTTTGTGTACGTATATAGTATAAAGCATAACCACTCAATATAGTCTAAGCAATGATCACTTAGGATTTATACACTTTACATGGAGTGGATTTCACAAACTTTATCCTTAAGATGTTATGTAGTTCAAAACATTAATTATAAAAACAGAGATGTTACTAACACTTTTAAGTTTTAAAAGACTTCAAATTCAATTCCTGTTGAATGTGAAGCCACAGCTGGTCAAAAATGGCAGGAACAATGTGAAGTTGTGAAGCCACAATTGTTGAATGTGAAGTTTTTTCAAAGGTTGGCTGAAGACCCGGTTGTGTTTTTTGACTACTTCTGATTTCCATCTCTATATAAGAGATTCATCTGTATTTGTAAAACTTGTATCTAGTGTAACACAGAAAGAGTGCAGATTAGCACCAAGAAATGTAAATTCCTAGTTACCGGTGGACGTAGGTCAGAGAAGGACCGAACCACGTTAAATCCCTCATGTTCATCCTTGTGTTCTTGTTTTTCGTGAGCTGTGTGTGTGTTTAGAGTCGTGGTGTCTCGATCCTAAAAAGTGGTATCAGAGACTTGGTTTAGCTCCAGATGGTGATTTTCTGTTTTTTGGTCGAAATTTTTTTTCGTCAAAAACGATTTTGGTGTATACCGTTGGAAAGGTCTCGTTCCGAAGATTCCGAAAATATTTTTTTCTGAATTTTTTGACCACCGGAAGACGTCCAAATCGCCGGTCAAATGTTTGCCGGAATAGTGACCGGGAAAACCAGTTCGCCGGAGAAGATGACACTGTAGCACCAGACACTGTAGCAGTCCGCCGGAGAAGACGACACTGTAGCAGGAACTGTAGCACGACGTCAGCAGTGCCGTCAGCAGACACTGTAGCAGGCACTGTAGCAACACTATAACAGATTTGAAAATTTGCAATTTGGCCCCTGAATTTCCAGAAAATTGCAAGATAGGTCATTGTTCTTTCAGAAAATGGCAGAAAGCAGTAAGCTTCAGATTGAGAAGTTTGATGGGAAAGATTTTGGTTGGTGGAAGATGCAAATTGAAGATTTGCTCGTACAGAAAGACTTGGACGCAGTTTTAGGTGAAAAACCGGAGGCGATGACACAGGCAAACTGGGAGACTTTGGATAAGAAGGCCAAGGCATTTATTAGACTGACGTTGTCAAAGGATGTTGCCTTCAACATTTTGAAGGAGACCTCGGCAAAGGGAATCATGGAGGCATTGTCTAATATGTACGAGAAGCCGTCGGCAGCAAATAAAGTCTTCCTGATTCGGGAACTAGTCAACACGAGGATGAGGGAAGGAAGTTCAGTTACAGTACACATCAACAATTTGAACTCGATTTTATCCAGACTTGGGTCAGTGGGAATAAAATTTGAGGACGAAGTTCAAGCTTTACTACTGTTATCATCATTACCTGACAGTTGGTCCGGAACAGTTACAGCCGTTACTAGTTCCTCAGGATCAAAAGAGCTCACTTTTGAGGGAATTCGGGATTTAATTCTAGGCGAAGACGTCAGACGAAGAAATTCCGGGGAATCATCAAGTGAACAATTGAATGCGGTCAGAGGTAGAAAAAATAACAGAGGTAGTGGGAGCGGGAACAGGAGAAGGAGTCAGTCGAGGACTCGAAATGATGTGACTTGTTGGAACTGTAAAGAGGTTGGACATTTCAGGAATCAATGTCCAAAAGACAAGAAAGAAGTTAACGCTGCAGTAGACCATTCAGATGATGATGTTTTGATCTGTAGTGTGGAGAGCAATGTGGATTTCTGGGTTATGGATTCGGGTGCTTCATTTCACGCTACCCACAGCCGTGAAGCACTGCAGAATCTAAAAGAAGGAGATTTTGGTAAGGTAAGACTGGCGAACGATGAGGTTCTTGTTGTGACGAGCATAGGTGACTTAGATCTGAAGACTCCAGTCGGTCCATGGACTTTGAAGGATGTCCGGGTAATTCCAAGTCTAAAGAAACAGTTGATTTCTGTTGGGCAGTTGGATGAACAGGGACACGAGGTTAAGTTCAGGAATGGGCAGTGGAAGGTTGTCAAAGGAAATCTTGTGATCGCTCGTGGACATAAGAGGGGTTCATTATATATGGTTAGTTTACCGTCTGAGGGAGTAACCGTCCCAGTTCAGAAGAAAAACAAAATCCGGTTCATAGAGTCTCGTGGACAGAAGAAGGTTTGCTTTGCAGATGGCAAACCCAGAGTCACAGGTCAGATTCAGGTTGAACGTGTTTGGAACGGTTCAGAAAAACCAGTCAAGGGCATTCATAGCAGTGGGAGCATGGGCTTTGTTTCAGCTAGAATACCCAGAACACAGTGGGTTAAGAGAACCAGTATTCCATCTGTAAAAGTCTCTCCAGATTATCTGCTTCACATGGAGAGTGTCGTTTGTTCTCAGGATGTTCCAGGATCGGGCAGTTCATTTCAGTGGGAGCCGGTGGAGACAGAGAACAGGTCAGTGGCAGACTTAGCCATGACTGATGCATTGGAGCTAAAGAAAGCTTCAACTGGCCTTCAGGTTAATTGAAGAGAAGGCCAGGGTAACTAGGAAGGAGTTAAGATTAAATACAGATGCACAGTTGAAGCACAGGTGAAAATTGTTCCGTGGCTTCAAGTGGGAGATTGTTGAATGTGAAGCCACAGCTGGTCAAAAATGGCAGGAACAATGTGAAGTTGTGAAGCCACAATTGTTGAATGTGAAGTTTTTTCAAAGGTTGGCTGAAGACCCGGTTGTGTTTTTTGACTACTTCTGATTTTCATCTCTATATAAGAGATTCATCTGTATTTGTAAAACTTGTATCTAGTGTAACACAGAAAGAGTGCAGATTAGCACCAAGAAATGTAAATTCCTAGTTACCGGTGGACGTAGGTCAGAGAAGGACCGAACCACGTTAAATCCCTCATGTTCATCCTTGTGTTCTTGTTTTTCGTGAGCTCTGTGTGTGTTTAGAGTCGTGTGTTAAGTGTCTCGATCCTAACAATTCCAATTCACCTAAAACAAATTTTAGCATCCAATCTAAAAGCAATTATACCTCCTGAGTCCTGTCCTCTACCTTCTACACAGTTTAACTAAAATCAAAAACATGAATTCAAATAAAAAAATTTAAAATTTAAACTGAGATATGCTGCAGCAGCTCCTCTCACGTTGCTCAGCAGGTGTAACCCAAACAAGACTGTCGACATAATTAACAACTTTACCTCCACAATTAACATTTTCACCATAATTCTTGAAGATTTTAGTCTTCTCTTCAACCGGATCATACAAAGCAAAACCACGCCCTCTAACATTAATAAAAAACTCATTCTGTAATGTGAATCCATATCCAATTACATTATTACCACTAAATGGGGGAAAAACATGATGTTTCACCCATGAGTCACCCACCCCATACTCATCCATCACCCACACCTCCCATTCATAATCCGGTAGGGCCCCTGACATCACACAAAGCTTTCCACCCAAAACTCCTAACTCAACCGATACCTCATTTGCATTATCATAACCCATTAAATCTGTTACGTATTTCGGAAATGGCATCTCCCAGAATGTCTCTGAACTCAAATCAAATGTGAATACAGTAAGTATATTATTCCGCATGTGATCAATTTCAGTAATCCAATGAAGATGCCCTTCATGTCCATCTACCCAAAGGGTATCACAAGAAAAAATATCTGTGAGATACGATGGAAGCCTTTGAGTGATTGACTTCCATGAACCTTTTCTCATGCTATAAACCTCAATTGGTAACCACTCTTCAAGGGAAATCATGATTCCTTGTTTCTCCATGGGTCGTGTAAACTTAACAACTTTGTAATCATCTGTTTTTGGATCAAATCCAAACCGAAAAGAATGTTGGATTGAATAGGGGGGTGTATAATATGGTGGGAGAGTTAACAAGGACGAGAGGGAAGGGTTCCAGATGCAAACGACTTCAGGATCATGATTTGATCCGTAAATGATTTCAGAATCATGAATACTTCCGAAATCATGATTTGATCCGTATTTAAAGCAAATCAAGCCATTAACAGATCCAATGACTTTGCCACGACTATTTTCAGATTGATGGTTAATTGGGAGTTTGATGAAATCAGTGAGTTCCGAATGGGGAGATTGAGAGGGATATGCCGTGAATGATTTGGAGCCAAAAGAAAATAAGCGATAGAAGAGCAAGAGAATTCCATCGGTGTTGATGTTTTTAATTGAACGATCAAGGTGGGATTTTATGAAAGAGGATTCAGATAAAAGTGCATTCCATGATTTGGAAACGCACCTCATCTGGGCAAGCTGTTTCGCGAGTAACCGGATGAATATGTTTGATAAAAGAACGTCTGGGAGATTCTCCATTGTCGCTCCAATGCGAAAACCCTAATAAAAATCCCAATTAAAACTTTTTTACTAGTAACAATTAAGAAACTTGAACAAAAATTTATGATACTAATGGTTACTGCAAACAAACTCTAGTAATTTTACAACAAAATGAGTAAACAGGGCGGTGGTGTTACCATAACAGATACCGAGAGCAGGGGTGGTGACGGCAGCAAGCTGCAAACACGGTGCACGGGCGGCAGTCGGCGGTGGCGGGAGAAAGAGCAGGTGCAGAGAGTTTTGGTAAAACAGAATCTCCAGATGAATCGCTATTTTCATTACGCGAAGATATAGAACGATTTTGGAGGCATTATCGGTATAATGATTAAAAGTCAAAATATTCAAAATTTTGAATATTCGTTGAAAGATAAATTAAGAAAATGGATTTGTTTTCTAAAAAATTATTAGGCTATGGGGAGTTGTGATTGGCTTACCGTCAGTATCCGATGTGGAAGGCTTCACCGCCGATAAACATCGGCCATCTACTTCATATTTACCGCCGGTATAATACCGGCGGTGGATTTGTAGTGGTTGCAAAATTCTAAATTTTGGATAGTCGGGGAGAATTGAAACATTGACAAACGGTTGGAAACGGCTATATGCCAAAAAAACAAAAAAAAATTAAACAAATCTACTATGTATATACAATTCATTCTTCCAAAATATAGCCATACTATACATTCTTTACAAAAAAAATTCATTGAAAATGTCTTTCAACAATCTAAACTCTTCCAAACAAAATGCTCCAAACCAAAATGTTAACAACCCTTTCGCACTTTTTGGCTACGATCCGTCATCACCACAATCTTACCGGCCACAAATGGATGGTGTTCCTAGCTATTATTCACAATTTCAAATTCCACATCAATTCCGATTCCAATCTTAACTCCAAACCCAACCATCTCAAACCCAATTTCCATCACAATCGTCTTTCACACCGTCAACCGAAATTGTTTCTGATTCCGAACACGAAGAACAACAACAACCTCCACAACAAAAGAAAGGTAATGCTGATCCAAGAAGATGGACACAAAAAGAAGAAGTTGAATTAGCAAAGGCATGGGTCGACATATCTAAAGATGGTAGCACGAGAAATGGTCAAAATCGTGATCAGTTTTGGTTACGTATCACCGAGCGGTTTTGAAAAGGGAATGGGTCGAGATCCAGATTATCGGACCTCCGACCAATGTAACTGGAAATGGAATCTTATGAACAAACTCGTGACACATTGAAATGGAATTTACACAAATTTTGAAAAGCAATGGGCTAGCAGAGAAAGTGAAGCAAGTTTGTTGAGAAAAAAAAATGCACTCTACATTCCAAGATGATATGCTAAAGTCTTTTTAAGTTTATTCATGTGTGGGAAGTTGTCAAAAGAAGCATTAGGTGGAGGGAACTTGCAACACATGAAGAAATTGCTAATCCACCAAAAAGAAGCTGAACGTCTTCATATTCGAGCTCACAACAAGTTTCATCGGATGATCACGTAGGTGTTAATCTTAATGATTATAACGACGACGTCGAAGAAATACGCCTGCTCCTCCTCCGATGGGAAGGGACAAAACAAAAGCTCGAGCAAAAGGGAAAGGGAAAGCGACATCTTCAAATATGTCAGTCGGAACCGAGCGGTTAGCTAGATCAGAAGAAATGATGGCAACAATGGCACAATTGAATTCAACTTTGGAGAGGCATATGGCTGAAACCGTCCAACTCATAAAATATTCGTTGTTAATGCAAGATGTGAGGCACCTCGACCCCGAAGATTAAGAGGCGGCTAAAGCGGTGAAAGAGTCGATTCTTAAAAAAATATAAGCTAGACCGCAAATGAAATTTCAATGTTATGTTTTTTTCTAGGTTTTTTTTCCTTTTTAATTTTTCACTTCATGTTTTTTTTAGGTTTTTAATGTAATTTTTAATTTCATGTTATTTTTTATTTTTAGGATTTCTAAAATGTAATTTTTAATTTTATGTTATTTTTAATTTTAGTATGGTTTTTACAAAAGTTCTTATTTTTTATTGGAATTTTAAGCAAAATAAAAATAAAATAAAATAATTCATAGGTAAACCATTTACCACACCCTAATTCGTAAGTGAAAATTATAAAAATTGTAAAAGTTGATATGGCGCCTACGTGACATCTTTTTATCATTGGTAAAAAAATGCAACACACCCTTTAGCCTTAATAATTTTGTTTTTCTTGGTTTTACCAAAAAAAATTACACTGGTTTACAAGTCACCAACAGTAACCAAAAAAAAAAAAAAGTTCGAGTGTTCCAATGAAAAAAAAATATTAGTAACTCTTCTAATAAAATTTTCAAATCAAAAAATAATAAAAATAAAAATAAAAATACAAGACCTATCTTTTTATAAAAGTTTTAATTTAATCCAAGAAAACACAATATTAGTAACTCTTCTAATAAAATTGTCAAATCTGAATTTTTTTTTGTAACAACAATAAAACTTAATATGACTTTGTTGTTCAAATGTGCATAATTCACTCAATTTAACTTGTTTTGACCTGAATCTTTTTCCTACGTGTTAGCTGACGATGACCTCGCTATTGGTAATACACTAATACTTGTTATATCTTATTTTTAACATCTTATTAGTAATTGTTACATTTTAGTAAGTAATAACGCTTTTTTTTTATTATATATAGACATTGTGGATGCTATACACAACTTGAAGCTAACGGGGAAGAGATCGGGGAATTAGTCAAAATGTCAAATAGATGTTGGAATCCACATATTAGACTTTGTTTTTTTTTTTTGTTGGTGAAATTTAAAAGTATATTTTGAATTCAATCCCAACCATCAAATCTAAACATGTTAAACGTAAAAAAGAAAAGCAAATGGATGAAAACTTGCACAAAAAGAAAAGCAAATGGCCACATCATAAAATGTTCATAGCACACTAAACGCACTACTACTCAAAACAGATTAAACGTATATCTTAGACCAAAAGTGTATTAATGTAAATACGTTGCTATTTGTCGAAGACCGGTTCCAAAATCAAAAAACCGGCAAAAACCGGAACCGGTAGAACCGCCGGGCCGGTTCGGTTCTTGATTTTGGCCGAAGCCGGTTCCCGGTTCGGGTTCGGGTCCGGCCGGTTCCAGCCAGTACGGTCCTTTTGCTCATGCCTATGTGAGCATGTGTATGTTGAAGCCGAGCGTAAATGAAAAAAATATTAAACGGCCGCAATCTATTTTTTAGTGTTGAAATATATTTGATTTTATTTACCTTGATGGCTATATTCGAGAAATGCGTCTTTCACATCGTATGCTGATCTTAGCAATTCAAAGGTAGAGTTCCACCTTGTTGGAGTTTCACCACACAAAAACCTTTGACTTTCTACAGCCGCATCCTTCATGGCTTGTTTAAAGGTCTTGATCCGTTGCGGGGAGGCTCTAATGTATTTCACCGCATCCTGTATGTTTTTTACATGATAAACTTCGTGTTTTAACCCCATTTACACAACTAGGTTTATGATATGAGCCATACACCTAATGTGAAAATGTTTGCCATTCTCGTAAATACCCGGTAGTTCTTTCACAATGATGTTGATTGCCGCATCATTTGTCTTGGCATTATCAACGGTCATCGTCATGACATTCTTCATCCCCCACTCGTTTATGCAAATTAGCAACTCCCGGGCCATGTCTTCAGCTTTGTGAGTATCAACCTCTCTAAAGTTGACTACCCTTTTGTGCATGACAAAATCTTCGGTAATGAAGTGGGTCGTGACAACCATATAATTTATCTTTTGACACGAGGATGTCCACGTGTCGGCTGTCAAGTGGATGGATGTTTTGGGGTTGCTCAAATGTTTGTACAACTTCTGCCTTTCCATTAAATAGAAGGACACAACATCACGAGAAATTTTATGCCTTGAAGGCAATTTCACCCTACCATTGCGGGCGTTTACAAATTCTATGAATGCCTCATTTTCAATGAATTTAAAGGGTAGTTCCCCGATGGTGAAAAGGCCTAGCAAGGCAAGTTGGATCCTAGTATCATCATGTTTCCATGTGTATACATGACCCTCACTATTAGGAGCTTTCGTAAATGACAACTTTTGTTGTTTGTCATCAACTTCTTTCGGTTTGTTGTCCGGATTTAACTTGCACCCATTAAAATGCTTGTTTATTGAAGTTGTTCCATTCCGGTTTGGATCCGCGGCTAGTAACTGTAAACAATAATTACATTCGGCCCACTTTCTTTCAATTTCATCTTCCTCCTTTATCCATTCTATCTCGAAGTAATTCCAAACAGGAGCGGTACAATTATCTCTACCCTCACCTCGTCTGGTTGGGTTAATCCGGTCCCTTAACTCCTTTTGAGTCTTTTTTTTTGGGTTTTGGTTTTGTTGGGTATTTTTCTTGTGTTCATTTTTTTGGTAGTGGTGGTTTTTTTGGTTGTCTTCGTTTTTGTGGGGTTGCAAATTTTCGTTTTTTTGAAGGTTGTTGTTCTTGTGGCTCCTCTTCTTGGTTTGATTCATCACTTGGTATAACATTCAATGCCGGTGTTTCTTCTATATAATCTTCTTCAGAATCTTCTCCATAATCCTATATTCTCAAAATAAAACATATAATAAGTCATATTACGTTTAATTGCTGAAAAATAAAAAAACAAATCTGATTTGACACCCTTCCTTGCGGGGCTTGTAAGTCATTCAATTTTTAACCAAATCAAGCGTTTTTATAGTCTAAACTCAACTACAAATCCTAATCTACATATAGAAAAAAGATTCAGGTCAAAACAAGTTAAATTGAGTGAGTTATGCACATTTGAACAACAAAGTCAGATTACGTATTATTGTTGTTACAAAAAAAATTCAGATTTGACACCCTTCCTTGTAGGGCTTGTGACTCATTCAATTTTTAACCAAATCAAGCTTTTTTATAGTCTAAACTCAACTACAAATCCTAATCTACATGTAGGAAAAAGATTCAGGTCAAAACAAGTTAAATTGAGTGAGTTATGCACATTTGAACAACAAAGTCAGATTACGTTTTATTGCTGTTACAAAAAAAAAAATCAAATTTGACACCCTTCCTTGCGGGGCTTGTAACTCATTTAATTTTTAACCAAATCAAGCGTACGTTTTTATAGTCTAAACTCAACTACAAATCCTAATCTACATGTAGGAAAAAGATTCAGGTCAAAACAAGTTAAATTGATTGAGTTATGCAACTTTCAAAATTTGCACAAATTGCTAAAGAAGTAAATATTGCTAATGAGGTAATCTTACTTGGTCATCAAAGTCTTTTCCAATCCAATTAGCCGGATTACCATCTTCATTATTGGCATCATGAACATCCGAGTTTCGGTATCTTGATGATGGTACATTTGGTAACCCATCCAAATTCTACATTGTCAATTTTACACATTAATCTTGCATGTATGTCTACAAAGTACAAACTACATTGTTAAATGGAACTTAAAACATGAAATACAAATATATAATCTTACTTGATCTTCATGAACATCCATAGTTGTTCGAATCATTGAAGCAAAATATGAAGATGTCGACTTAAGAATTGAGAAGATGAAAATTGATGAATGATGATGAAGATCGATTGAAACTTGGAGATGCTTGGAATCGTACAAGTAGGGTACAAGGGATGATCGATGCTTGGATTCCTTGGATTCCAAGTTAGAGATGTCGATCGATGGTAGCCTGTTGTCGTTGGTAGGGTTCGTATCTTCGTGACTTGGAGTCGCCGAGTCGTGCTTCAGTGGATTCCGTGGGTTATTGATTCACGATCGTTTTTTTTTTTTACGTCCAAAGTAGAAGTGCAAGCGACAAAGGCATGGGTTGTTATGTAAAGACTATCCGGTCCGGTTCCCGGTTTTGGGCTGATTCCAAGGGCCGGTTCTTACCACGTCCCGGTTCCAAAAATTCACAAAATTATAGTACCGGTCCCAGCTCGACCGGTTCCGGCCGGTTCCCCGGTTCGTTTGCTCATCCCTATGCTCACATGCATATTTGATTAATCATTTTTAATATATAACTTAATTAATCATTTTAAAATATAACTTACTTCAATATTACAATCAAAAGTTATTATATCAATAAATAACAAAATAAAATTCAACAGATCCATTATTTAACTTTTTATATATCTAGCAGTAAACCGAAGAGCAAACCACTTTGCAACCAACAATACCTATCCGATTAGGTTTCTCTTACAAAGGTACCAAAAAAAGGGCCTAACATTGCATAACAAACCTTAGTCAGTATATCTAGAAGACAAAGTAAAGTGCCGACTAAAGAAAACCACACAATCAAACTACACATCTCCTCCTACCACCACCACCTCATCACAAACATCTCCAAAAGTTTTAACAAACACCAACCACCACCTCTGCTCAACTCACGGACTAACAGAATCATCCCTACGAGGTGGCACATCCCTGTAATAACCACCAGGCTCACCGCTCCTGCTCCGGCTCCGGCTAGGGCTCCGGCTCCTGCTCCCACCGCGTCTCACCGGAAGCTGCTCCCTCACCGGACTCCGGCTCCGGCTACGACTCCGGCTATACGGCGGTGAAGTCTCCCTCATGGGGCTCCTTGGCGGCACATCATCATCATAAGATAGAGACCGCTCCCGTACTGGTGAGCGTGAGTATGACCTCTCACGGCTGTACCTTCTGTCTCGAGGAGTAATTGACCTGCAATGATTTTAAAACTGTGTTTATTTTTACCGACAATTATAAATATCAAAAATAGTAATTAATCTTACATTTTAGACATCATTTATTTGATGGTCTCTTACATAAGTTCCATTTCTGGCATTTTTGTGAAAAATGGAGACCATGGTTGTAAATATCAAAAATAGTAATTAATCTTACATTTTAGACATCATTTATTTGATGGTCTCTTACATAAGTTCCATTTCTGGCATTTTTGTGAAAAATGGAGACCATGGTTGTATGTTTCATATTAGGAAGGGACCAAATATGTAGTTTTCTTATTAGACAGGGACCATGTTTGTAATTTTTTTAAACAAACAAACCATATTTGTAATTTTAGGAACCTTTTCTGTACTTCTGTAAGTACAGGGACCAAAATTATGCAAGTTTACTTTTAAACAAGAACCTATGAAACATAGGGACCATCTTTGTAATTTTCCTATTAAAGCATGGACCATTTATGTAAAATTCAGCACAACTTCCTAAATTTGGTTTTGATAATTAGTAGTATTTGATAATGATAATATTAATAATAGTTTTACCTTGAGTACTGCCTTCTCCTTGGTGGTGGAGAGTAATCGCGGCTGCGGGATGGTGATCTGGCATAGCGAGGCGGTGGTGATCGGGTGTAACGCGGTGACCGAGAGTAACGAGGTGGCGGTGACCGCCTACGATCACTGAATCTGCCGCCCCTACAAAAAAAACAAAAAGAAACTACATAAGGGCAGTTTGGTCATTTCAATTCAGACAAGGACCTAATCCACAAAGAAACATGGTCATAACTCATAACGGTATTCTGTGCAAATTTTGTAGTTTAGGGACCAAAACCCCAAAATTTTGCTAAGCTCAGGGACCAAAATTGCAATATTCTATACTTTTTTATAAAATATAGGGTTAAAAGACCTTATATTTTGTGTTTTTTCTGGATTAAACCTCAAATTTATTTTTTGCCAGAAAAGGCCTTATATTTTTTCATTTTTTTTCCAAAAAAGCCCTCAACTTTGTATTTTTTTCCGAAAAAAACCCTCAACCTTCTAAATGCTTCCAAATAACCCTCAACCTTTTTAGTTTTTCTCAAAAAAAAACCTCACATTTTACAATTATTTTTTGGAAAAAAATAACAAAAAGGGCCAAATCGGAAAAATAAAAAATACAAGGTCTTTTCCAGGTAAAAAAAATCGATGTTTAATCCAGAAAAAATACAAAATATAAGGTCTTTTTTGAGATTAACCCTTTTTTTGGAAAAAATAACTAAAAAGGCCAAATCGGAAAAAATGAAAACATACAAGGTCGTTTTCAGGCCAAAATTAAATTTGAGGTTTAATCCAGAAAGAAAAACACAAAATATAAGGTCTTTTATGAGATTAACCCTAAAATATATAAACAATAAAAATAATTACCTGCGCTCTCTTACTCTCATATCAGAAGGTTTCTTCCGATTCTCTTCAGCAAAAACAACTGTCAATTGTCTGCCTAAAAGAATTTGACCGTCCATCTGGTATTTTGCTTCAGTGGCATCAGCGGGGTCCACAAATTGCACAAAACCAAATCCCCTTGGCTCCCTACACACAAAAAAAAAGATTTAAAATTAAAAAATTGAAAAGATTGGAAATAAGGCACATTAACCTCAGAACTTTGACCAAGTAAGTCCAAGTCAACATCTTTTTGGGGCTGTTTGTAGAACTCGAAACCAACAATTATGAGTTCCAAAACTGCCCCTTTAACAACTTACAGACAATCAAATGGAAGGCCACCATGATAAGCAGATAAAGGCATAAAGCATGCACATGGCTGCTGACCTTTGAGATTGTCAGTATAAATATGACTTGAAATTCTTCAAGACTTGAAATCTTGAAATCTTCAAAATGAAATCAAACTCATTTTTCTTTTCTTCACATCTCTTCACTATCATATACACCACCTTCAAAAGACCTCATACTACTTCAATATATCAAGAAGATTCTTACTACCTTGTTGATTAATGTCTTCAAAACTTTTACTTCTTCACTGTTGAATTAAATCTCAACAACTTTTATTTGAAAATCCCAAGAGTATGATTAATAAAAGTTCAAAGATGAAAGTTACCCAGTATTATGAAAAATCCCAATATTTAGTTTTATCACATAAAAAAAGGTATGATAGTATTAACAATGAAAAGTAGAAGTTGAAACAAATGAAAAGACTTGTCATATCATGAATAACACAACACATTTCAAGAAATTAAAAAGGTAGCAACATAACCTCTTACCAATTGGAAATAAATATTTTTTTACAAAATAAGCTTACCCGCTATAATAATCTCTTGGCAAATAGATGTCCTTTAGAGGACCAAATTGTCCAAATAGCCTCCGAAGGTCTTCTGGACTGCATTTATAACACATGTTAATACGAAATATACTAAAACCCTTTGAAATATGTTCAATAAGCTAAAAGAAGTTGACTAAGAATGCCAAAAGAAAAAGGGTAATTTAGTAATTACATACCGGCAATCATGGCGAAGATTACGGACTAGAAGACTTGTTGGAAGATCTCTTCCACGACTACCACCACCATAGCGACCCCTGGGACTAGGACTCCTTCCTCTTCTTCCATAACCACCCCTAGGTGGTGAAGGTGAATAGCTCCTTCCACCCATTGTTAAGCTCTCTGAAGGTAATTATGGTAATAAAAGAAAACATTCATTAGATTTACAGGATAAATAGTTATAAGTAACAAGAAATGTCTAAATAATGCAGATTCTCATCAAGTAATTGATTTAGAGTAGATGAAAACAAATATCCACCAAAAACTTCACAGCATAGAGATTGACTAATTATAAGAGATCAAACTTTTTATTTTCTTCCTTCTCAAGCCCATGTAGAGTAGGATAATGGCATTGTACAAATAATGTAATAGAGAACATGTATGTCTATCAAACTACACTGACCATGAACTAAATTGTCAAACCTCATAATTAAAAGAAATAAAAGAGATTATGCAAAGTCCAACTTCGCGTATCCTTGTTTGAACTTAGGACACAAAGATTAAGATGGTCTATTAACAATGATAACCGTCAGTTTGATGTAATTGACCAACAAACTTCCAGTATGAAGCCCTAATCATAGAAATCAGGTGCCTAACAAAGCTGAAAACTCACGAGGAATACATATCAAACCAGATGGACACATATGCCTCTCTACGACTGTAATCTATAACAGAAATTTCTGATTGAATATCCAAATTGAAATGATGTATAATTCAAACCTAGCGATTCAGAGTAGGAGATATCAACAACAAATCAATTCCCACTAAAGACCTACAAGGTTTTGGTTAAACCTCCAAAGTTCTTGAAACGCGATGACTACAACAACAAAACTCAGATATATTTTCTAACGGAAACAATCGCTGAAATCTCGACAAAGTTAAGTCAGATCAAAATCGAGTATAGAATGAAAAGGTTGACATGCATACGAAACACGATTCTCAAGTATGTTTAAAGCAAGATCCACAGAAAATATCAGCACCGGTTTCAAAAACTCAATGAACACGATCAATATGAATCGAATTGTAAAAGGTACCTGTATAATTTGCAGAACAGGTGCGGCGAATGAGGAATTAGGGCACCAATAAAGCAATCTGACTTTTGTAGACGGCGAAGATATACACAACCAAGCTAATGTTTTGGGGGTTTCTGTTTCTTTAGGGTAAAATGGGTTTTATAGGAGTCATTCATGCGTTAGTGTGCGCATAAACTCAAAAACATATTATTTCCTTTTGAGAAAATTAAATAAATGGTCCTTGTTCTATGGAATAGTCATAGATAATCCAACTCTAATAAAATGGAAAAACTAGGTCCCTGTGTTTTGTGGATATTGCGGAGATTGTCATTCCAACAAGAGTCCAAAAAATAACGTTAAATTTCTATAAATAACATTTTTACCATTTCTTTTTTCTTTTTAACTTTTTTTGTGTTTAATAATTATTTCCTTAAGTTGCAAGGACAAATTATGTAATTTACTCTAACAATGGATTCTTTTACTTTTGCAAATTCATGGTTCCTCTTTCACATATCATCAGTTTTGTTGTCCTCCTTCACAATTTGTTTTTTCGTATTTTATGGTTATGATGATGGTCAGTGGTATTCTTCATCTGCAACAATGGATATCGGCTGTCGGTTGCCACCTGCGCGACAATATCTTGTGTCGGCCTCCTAAAAAGGAGAAATCGGCGTCGTTTTCCTTTATTGTTCGCCACCATCGATCACCACTTGCATGACAACATCTTGTTTCGACTTTTTTTTAAAAAAAAAATCTATAACTGTTATTGATATTTATCTATTGTATAATAATTTTTAATAAACTTGTTATATTTGTTATATATACATACATACATACATACATACATACATACATATAATTTTCCTAAAATTAATTTCATATAATTTAATCCAATCCGAGTACTCCTCGATTACTTCCCGCCTAGACCGAATATTCACTAGGCGCTAGTTGGCCGCCTTGGGAACGCCTAACGAGTTTTGCAACATTGCTACGAACATGGTACCCAAGTATTTCCCTTTAAGGTGTGCTCCGTCAATGATAATAATAGGATACAAACTTGTTTGAAATACTCGAACCTAAAAAGTAATTAATATTAATTATTATTCATTAAAGCAAACACATAACAACAATAAATATACTCATTATATAAGAAATATTACCACGCAACCAATAGCCATAAAATAAATATTCAAAATTTTTTGTCATGACTCGTCTTTATATGTGTAACCATTCATGGATTCTTCTTCTCCAAATTGTAAAAATATAAAGGTAGTATTTGAAAGCTTTTTTCAGGGGTCGCTTTCAATAGATTTAGAACATATATTTTAGCACTCCATGCTTACCAGTATGAAATATATACACTAAGAAGGTCATTTAAAGTTCGTTGTATTTGTTTCTCTCGCAACATATTACACGTACTATCAGCTAATATGTTCTTTCAATAAGCGACTCAATACCTTTTTTTGACTTGTTTGTGATGGGTACGTAGCCATGTGTTTGAGCAAGTGTGACTCTCCGATAGTTTAACCACTTAAAATGTATCAGTATTTCTATATTTTGTTACCCGTATCCGTTAATCACAGTTTTCCACAAAAGCAAACAGCTTTAAACTTATCCTTTATAGATTTTCTCACTTTATATTGGAAGCCTTCAGTAACTCTTTTGAATCCTAATTTAGGCTTAAGTTCTTATTTGCTTTTAAAGAGATGGATTAACTTCACATATGAAGTATAATTGTGGTTTGTGTCGCCTTTACATTTTTGTTGAGCTAATTCGGGCAATAGTAAGGTTCAAGCATAACCTAATTGGTGGTTTGTGTTTTTGCATAATCAGAAAAATAAAAAAGGAAGCTTTTCCTCATGTGGGTTTCGGGTTTTAAGGGCTTAGTTTCATCATTTTTACGTTCAGTATCATCCCCATCAAATTCAGTATAACTCTTAAAATGTCCAACAGGCTCTCTGGGTGGAATTAAATTACCATCATCAACCATCATCATTAATTTTGCCTCATTGTTTGCAGATTCATCAACATCAAATGTAGGAAAAGCATCAACAAGAGTCTTGCCTTTATACCTATAATCACCTTTATCTCTAAAGTCATTGTAATAATGAACATGGTTGGTGTTAGATAATTATGGGACCACATCATATATATGTAATGTTATCATTAAATCCAGTTATTATGGTAAAAATATAAATTGTTGATGAACCGATTTATAGAATATTTACTTACCTTGTGGGTTGAGTTCCCGGTTTGACTCAAGATCCTCAAGATCCCTTCCATCTCTCACATTAGGGTTTATATCAATCTATAAATACATATGATGAAAAGCAAATAAAGACACACGAAAATACACATGAAAAATCGTTTAGGGTTTGTTGAGGGATTTTAGAAAGAGCTCTTGAGATCAACTGGAAAACTCAACCCTAATTCTTCAGATCCGAATATTATAATGAAATAAGGTATGTAATTGTTCTTTAATGTTTAAGTTTTCTTTTAACCAGATTTGAGATTAAAGATCCAAACTTGTGTTTACACGTTTTATGTTTTGGTTATGAAAATAACCAACAATTAGTATCAGAGCAAACTCGAATCTGTTATCAGAAAATTTTGCTTGATTTAAGTTCACTAAAAAAAGGTCGTGGGGTATGTTTCTTGATCGACAATACGTAATTACATAGCCACATAAATTGAATTTTGATATGCAATGTTAATAATATATTGTTTGTGTTTATGTATTTCACTTAACGTGTTTATATGGACAATATTGTCTTTCTTTTGATCTTGCCATACAATAGACTAAGAGATACTATTGTGGATTTTTGCTCCACAAATTTTGAAAAGATAATACTTTAGATTCATATGGGCTTGTTTAAGTGGCTAGGTGTGGTAATACACCGTTTAAGTTACTACGCACATTATAAAAAAAAATCATGAGATAATTAGATGCCTTAATGGCTGTCATCCCATTTAAGTTATTACACACTAAAATTTGTTTTCGAATTGCACATATCTGCTTCTCCACATTGCGTCCAATTTTTTTTTTTTTTTGTTGCTTTCTTGATCGGCAATAAAATCAATAAAAAAAGATCTTGGTTAATGATTAATGTCTAAGCCTCATGCTCTTATTTATTTTATTTTATAGGTCTCATTTTTTTTTAATAATTATTATGGTTTTAGTTGAGATTTAATTATTTGGTTTATTTATACACGATTTGATTATGTCAAAAGGTTTAATAATTTTGAGCAATTAAATCGTATGCATATCTTCCAAATTTGAAAGTTATCGTTGAGATAATTTAAAATTAATAGTTAACTAGAAAGGTTACCCCCGCTACGCGGGGGCCAGAAGCTTTCAATGTTGTTTCCGAATTGATAAATATGACAGACATAGAAAGTGCAAGGATGAAAAGTCTGGACTTTGTCCCGGACAAAAAATGTAAAAGTTTTGACTGCAAGGACCAGAAGTGTGAAAATGGCTAAAGAGTTAAAGGGGTAGGAATTAGCAACTTTTTAGAAAAGGGATCAAAGTTGTCAAACCGTTAAAGTTTTGTGGCCAAACTTTAAATATTAAAAGGTTCCAAAAAAGTGTAAAAATATTGATTGCAATGACCAAAAGTGTAAAAATGGGTAAAGAATAATGAGCAAAGTTGCCAAAAAACATCCAAATTTAGTATTCCTAACTTCCAACAATAATACAGAGACCAATTCTGCCAAAAAAATGGGAAGTTGAATGGACCACAAGCAAAAGGACATGAATAAATTAATTAAAGAAGTACAGGGACCGGATATGTAAATCAAAGGACCAAACCTGGACAAAGTATCCCTACTTTACTATTCCTTTCTTCCACAATTTTAACATATATACTAGGGAAGGCTCCCCCGCGTTGCGGGGGTTAGAAGGGGGAATGAAATTGCTGATAACCAGGTGGTTGGATTAGACTCGCATGTTCTTTCATCTCCATATCTTTCGTAGTGTTTCCCTGATTTTAGTGCTAAATCTAGTATAGTTATTTGGAAATCTGATGTGTAAAATCAAAAAAATTGTACAATAGGTCGAGTATCCTATGAATTACTTTAAGTTGATATGCATTTGCACCAACAAATCCTTTTACTCCTTTTTGTTCCTTGACATGTGTCATTAGACATGGAATGTCGATTCCATTTTTGTCACGTATTGCTTCAGTCATATTAGTCACTGCTACAACCTTTTCACCTGCTTTGTGAATGAGTTCAGCAGCCCAGCAACCAATGTTTTCGAATCCCTGAGACATATGCTTCTATATATGATTTATGTATGTATGTACCTGTATGTCAAATTGTTGGCCGGAAACACTCATTTTGTGCTTAGTAAGAAGGGCATCTGTTGCAAAAAGTACTCCTCTTCCAGTTGAAGCATCTCTACCCAATGATCCATCAAGATCCTGAATTCAGAAATTACAGCCTTATAATCAAACAAAAACATTTTTGGTCATTATGTAGAATTATTTGGTTCGTTTAATGATTTTGGAATGGAATGATTCTCAAAGTCCATATTTTGGGAAGAAAAGAATTTAATCAGAATCTATCATTGTTTAATAAAAATACCAAAATACCCTTACTTTAATTTTTTACCCACTTTATAAAAGCATTTCTCTAGTTATCCAATTTTAATAGAAAATGTAACTTATTTTCATCAACTTATTGATTTAGCCACTAAACTTATATCTTTCTATCGACTAACAACTGTAGTAATATTATCAGTATCACAAAAAATAACAATTCCAATGCCATTTTATTTAAGAAATAATTACAATTTCAAGGTAAAACTAAACAAAAGTAACTTCTTTTACAATTGTGTATTTATTTTGAACTCTTGAAATGTTCAGAGTATCAAAACCTCACTGCTTACCAGACAGATTTTCAAATTATAATTCCTTAGGGAGAATAGGAAAGTGTAATGCTATAAATGGAGAACTAACAACGCTAAAAAAACATATCTTTTTAAGATTTTTTAAGAGTCATGATACTTTCTTTTTTGTTTATAATTTTAGGCTAATTATCGTTTTCAAAAACTTATTAACACTATGACATAAATAAGTAAATAACCACAAATGTAACATAAGTAGTTACTTTTTGTTTTAGTATTTTTCTGCCAAAGAGAGATGCGTGGGATCATTTTTTTCATTTCTCCCCCACTTTTTTCAACTCTAATTTTATATTTCTCACCATTTCTTTATAATAAATAGGGAAGTAAAAAAATTCAAAGAGAAATAACTTTTTCCCCCTTTTTTTTTGAAAAAAATGACTCTTCTTTCATTTCTTTGTATCTAACTGACCTTCGAGGTTTCTGGAAATTAATTTTAATAAGCAAATTTAAAGAGTTTAATTACACTTTGGAATGGTGTTTCTAAGAACGGTTCGTAACTCTGTATAGATATATAAAGACAAATTATATTTATTAACTTCAAGGTCTGTTCGTAACTCTGCATAAATATATGAAGATCAATTATATTCATTAATTAGCTTCCTAAAGTATTTAAGTAAATAAATAATCTTTTACAGATAGTAGTTTTGCCTATTTTATTGCACTTGCCATCCATAATTGACGTTTTAACCAAATGCGTGTTCTATTCATCATCTTTTTCTCTTTCAGTTTGTATCATATCCATGAATAGAAATTAAAAGTTGATTGACAACTTCAAGGGAAATAGAAAAATAATACCTTTTTATGGCTTAAAAAGTCAAAGAAGTTCATTCCACATGTGGCATTCGGGTCTGAATATTCCATGATGAGCGAGGCATATGTATCTGGTTTTCGTTAAATAATCATTAGAACAGAATATTCTATCTACCAGTAGGCATCTTTTAAAATAACAATGTTTCACAAATTTGGCATTCTAGATAATACCTCCCTGACTACCTCTTCACTGATCCGACCATCTACATTATATCAAGTCTGCATTTTTATTTGTGAATAAGAATCTTACCCAAATGAGTTGTTGACATATATGAAGAAATAAATATTAAAATAAGTATATGATAAATCCTCACATGTCAAAGAAAGTCAGTAGCGTTGCCTCAAAACTCAAATCAGAATTTCATCCTAAAAATGCTTCAACTGTTCTTTTTTAATCGAATGACCTGTTATGTGCATACATGGAATATTAAATTAAATAGACCTAGCTTCATCCTCTTTCAGATACTCTTCATCCTCTTTTTCTTCGGTCAACTATGAAAACAATAAGGAAATGTAACCTACAAAAAAAACACAAAAAGTATCAAGGTATATATAATACCTATGGATGTAGTTGTGTAGGTACATCAATTAAGGCAGAACATGATTACAATTACAATTTACAGTGAATCAGTTAAGGTAAAAAGAAATTACAATCACAAATCTGTAGTGAATCAGTTAAGGTAAAAAGAATAATTTAAGGTTCAGAGAGCCTCAAAGGGTCGAGATTCTTATCTAAAACTTATTTCATGATATTTTGAAACCTATCTTTCTTACCTTGTCCAATGACGGTAAAGATGCATGAATTCAACTACAAAAAATGTTGATTTCTCGAGGAAATATGCAACCCTGTTATGCCTGAATCAATATTCACTTACAAGTATTAACAGATTAAATTAAATCTGTAAATCAAAATCCAGTGTCCAGATCATAGAATCCTAATTCAATAACAGATGGTAATGATTCAGGTTGAACATACAGGTTTGATGTAGGCGAAACCAAGAGATAATATGTAGAGAAGTTTCACAAATAGATCCAGAAATCGAAGGTAAACAGAATGCATGGAATAAAAGAGGAGAATTAGTGTTAGAGAGTACCTGACACTGAAAGATGTAGCCCCCACAAAAAGAGGATGATGGTTGTCAAGGAAAAATAGAGAATATAAGAGAGGCCAAGATGTACAACTCAATGAGTTGACGTTAATTATGTGAAAAAAGGCGGAGGTGGAGGCGGGGGCGTGATTGGTGTCAACTTCTGGAAACCGGAGGCATAGGTGGTCGGCATCAAAGATGACCATAATTGATTGGATTTTATCGGAGGCTTCGGCCTCACGAAAACACTATCTGCAAAATTTAGGGATTAAAATTAGTGCAAGAAATCGTCTATAGCAAAACAAACCTGTTGCAAACATAAATTTATGAGGGTCCGCAAACAGGGGATGGCGGAGAAGAATCTTGGTTTATTTGAGGTTGCAACCAACATCGATAGTGGGAAGTAAGAAACTAAAAATTACTTGTGTTGTACCTGTTCATTTTCATTTGAGCAATTGCAATGAATTCCAGAACCATCGTAAGAAGAAAAGAGAGGGGAGAAAAGAGGGAACCTTAATCTCACACAAAGTCTTTTAAATACGAATCACACAGGGAGACCCGGCGTTGAATGTATCTGGAATCGAAGCAGGACTCGTCGGCAGTGGATGTGGCCGGAGTTTAAGTAGAGTTACTCAAAATTAGGGGTCGACGGCTTCGCGGTGGAAAAGGAGACGCCGATGAGGTGAAATGGGTATGAGAAACAGACAATTGAGCTAATGTGTGTGTCGGTGACTGCATCTTCATTCTTAAAGTCTCTAGAAGCAACCCCATCGGCGACGACAGCTAAGCGGTGGAGGTGGAGTCAAAATTTCTATGTTAAGGCGGTGAGAGGATACCGGATGAGAGAGACAGATGGGGAAGATAAAGATGTTCTTGTATGTCGATGCTTTTAGAGAGAGACGGTGGTTTTGGAGCCGATGGAAGCTTCTTGATGTGTAGAAATATGGAAAAATAGAGGGACCGGAAATGTAATTTAAGGGACCAAAATTAGACAAAATATCTCATGTTTACTGTTAAAACTTTTCACAACTTTAATATATATATATATATATATATATATATATATATATATATATAATAATTTATTGATATTGACAGATATGAATTTTGAACTTTATTATGGGTATTAAAACCAATTAAAGTATTAAAGGTTATTATCGTGCGATTTTATAATTTAATTTATGATAATGTGATTTTTTTTGGTTAGTAATTGATATAATATTATTATCAATTTGGTTAAAAATACATTAAGTATTTTAAGACATTATCTATTTGAATTATGTTTGACCTAAAGGAATACATAGTTTGACAAATAAAATTCAGTTATGACATTATTTATTTATTTATTTATGAAAATTTTATTTTTACAATATATCGCCAAAGTGATTCTTTTTGTGAAAATTAATTTGCTAAGAATGTAAATATTATAGTTTATGTGTTTATTATTGCGGATATTAATCGACCCAAATGTATGTTAATATTTGGCCAGATAAATACATGTTTGATGATAAATATGCGACAATTTTTAGGTTACATGTTATTAATAAGTCAATCCAAAGAGCGACTTATTTGATATATTGTTAATTCTTATTATCAACATTTATAGTTTATGTGTTTATTAATGCGGGTATTAGTTGACCCAAAGGTAAACTGATATTTGGCCGAATAAACATATATGTGGTGATAAACATGTGATGAGTTTTTTTTTGTTTCATGTGATTAATAAGTCAATCCAAATAGGGGCTTGTTAATTGGCATGATTTATTGTCAATGTTTATCTCTAAAACAAAGTTTTCTCTTGCAAATTAGTATTACTGTCCAAAGACTTGATATTAATGTTGTGTCGATACCTTGTAAAGATGTCATAAATTGAATTTATTGATTACGGTTTATGATTTAATGAGCATAAAAATAGATTTGATTATGTTTGAATTATGGTATTATATCTGCTAACATTGATCACATTTATGAGTCATGTACTCAATGAGTTTAACTTTAAGGAATGGAATGAGGGCATTATGTTAGTTCTCAATTGCATGGATATTGACATTGCATTTTTGGATAAAGCAACATTCTTTGAAGATGTTGAGTTTGGGGGAGAAATAAAGTTAAAACATTGTCCTTAAGAAGGAATCAATCTTGATTCTTATTATTGCTTTCGATAGTATGCAGATTATGAATCAGTAATCGACAATGTTATTCAATCTCCTATTCAGAATACACAAACTCAACAACCTCAACTTTGGATATCCTATATGTGGTACCATATTTTTCATCAATTTATTATCCCTTTTGGTTTTGAGGTAAATACAGTAGATGATTTTGTGTATCACAGATTAATTGGGAGTAAAATTATTTTTCTGGTTTTGGGCGATATTTATGCAACTCAAGTTTAGATCATAAGAAAGCAGCCAAATGGATTTTGAGATATCTATATATAACAAAAGGCTATATGGTCAACTATAGGAAATCATATGTTTTGGAGATCATTTTTATTAGGATTCTGATTTCATTAGATGCCAAAATGGTTACCGATCCATATTGGGATGCTTCTACATTTTAGCATGATGAGCCATTTCATGGAATAGAATTCGATAGCTTCTTCCATAATGGCAACATAATTTTTGGCATGGAATATGGTTGCGAAAATTTGTCACGAGGCTACACATTATTGGTATTGAAAGACCACTAAAGTTGTGATAATAAGTCAACAATGTTATATTCCAACAACAGAAGTTCTATTAAATCAAAGCATATTGACATCAAGTTTCCTGCTATTAACATAATAGTGCAAAATGGAAACATATATAGCACATATGAACAAACTCCATGAAAGCGGATCCGCTCATAAAGAGATAACATCCCTAGGTCTTTCATGAGCATACTACACATGTTTGCGTGATATTTGGTTTTAGTGGGAGTTTTATGGTGCTTTATGTTTTGTTTAAGAACAATTATATTTTTCTGTACATAATTAAGAATTCGGTTAACACCATTATTAGTTGCACTTATTTGAAGTTTGATCTCACTTCAATCTAAAGAGGAACTTGTTGAAAATCTATTCAGATTTTAAAACCACACATCATGTTTAATCTATGTCGTTAGTTATGTATAGATGACCATTGATAGGTTTAGTTGTGTAAATTGTAACGAAGACCGCTTTGATCCTATACTATTATGATTTGTGGACGAGATTGTTTAAGGGTACCGATATTATGATAACATTCATTAAAGCGCTTATACAGTTATACGTACATTTATATATTTGTGGTCCAGTGGGAGATTGTTAGATAATTATGGAACCACATCATATATATATATATAATGTTATCATTAAATCCAGTTATTATGGTAAGAATATAAATTGTTGATGGAGCGATTTATAGAATATTACTTACGTTGTGGGTTGAGTTTCCGGTTTGACTCAAGATCCCTTCCATCTCTCACATTAGGGTTTATATCCATCTATAAATACATGCGATGAAGAGCAAATGAAGACACACGAAAATACACATGAAAATTCGTTTATGGTTTGCTGAGGGATTTTAGAAAGAGCTCTTGAGATCAACTGAAAAACTCAACCCTAATTCTTCAGATCCGAAGATTATAATGAAGTCATGTATGTAATCGTTCTTTAATGTTTAAGTTTTCTTTTAACCAGATTCGAGATTAAAGATCCAAAGTTGTGCTTCCGCGTTTTATGTTTTGGTTATGAAAACAACCAACATGGTTGTCATAGGTAATAAATTACAAATTTGATTACTTTAAGCACTGGAAGACCCATTTCCACCATAACGATTTTCCCCAAAAAATCTATGAATACCACTTTCTATTACATTATTAACAACAAATAATTGTATTGTGCTAAAAGACATACTACTAACAAAACTAAGAAAATATATGACATTACTATCCTTAAGAGTCTATATAATTGTATTTGATCCAGGACATTGAAAAGATACACGTATTTGATTAATGTGTAACCTGGAATTGGAAGCAACCAATGTAAGTAACCTAATGAAGTTATATCATTACTTCTATCTACACCAAAGCATGTGTAGTATGGAGCAATATACTACATAGATCGCTCGATGCGTTGTCATTGCCCTCTACTAGAAACTGAAACTCGAAAAAGTCCCGTATACATACTCATTCCGGAACATATAAGAAAACTATCAAACACACAAATATGCAATATATTGCATATATGGAACAAAAACACACAAATACCCTAAATTTACCTCTCTGGAACAACCCTCCGGAATGTAAGGCCATTCCGGACTATAGTCCGGAATAAACTTTTGGGTTAATGACCTAGGAGGGTAATAAGGTTTTAACTTTGTTCACATTAGGTCCTTAAGGTTTTAACTTTGTCCACTTCAAAAATGGTCCCCGTGGTTTTCGAAAATATCAAGTTTAATCCCTAAGTTCAAAAAACCTCACAGATGGTCCCTGTGGTTTCAAAACTATTAACATTTGGTCCTTCCGGCTCACTCCGTTACCATTTAGCCGTTAAGTAAGGGGTATTTTTGTCATTTCACTACCCATGGATCATTTATGAGGTTTTGTATTACTTTTTTTTTAAATAAATAAAATTTAATATGCAAGGGGTCCCACCTATCTCTCTCTCTCTCTCAAAGAAAATGTGTGTGCATTTCCAGAACTACAATCCATTGAAGAAATCAAAAGTTTTACCCACAACCCTTATAAAAAAACCCCAATTTTGTTAATCTTCCCTAATTCATATCATATAAATGGCCAACATTTTAGAAAATACAACAAATGTCAATCACATTAGATAGATCCAAAATTAAACCATAAATGAATGAAGATGACGAAAATCAGTGATGCTCTTCCAGTTGAGCTATATGTGTATCTTATCATCGACTCCTATCCACCTCCAAATGTTCCTCCACATCGCCTTCACTTGACCCACCTTCTTCATCCTCTTCGTCATTTCAGGAGAACAAAGTCTGATCAAACCTTTCATCGATCCATACCCACCAACACCCCATTCTTTTTTCGCCATGTCAACTAAAATGACTCAAGATGGAGAAAAAGACGGTGTCTGGAGTACAGGAGTAACAGGGCATGGAGAAACTAGAGATGTATTCAGTTTGTGGGGAATTAGTGAAAAAAATGGAAAACAATAGGGGTTTTTACCCTGTGATTTCGCAGGAAAATCTCTACCTGAAACTCAATGGATGAAGAAGGATATAGCGAGGGATTTGCTTGGGATTCGAAAACAGAAGGAAACCGGAGGGAAGTCGGAGGTTCTCCGCTACCTTTCTTCTCTGTTGAACAAAACTTACTAGGACCTATTGCGATGGTGGGTTTCTTCAACTGGAGCATGAATACCTGGAGCGAGTCTTGTAATCTCAGAAGAATGGTGAATGGGAAAGTGGAGTCAATTTCTCCAATGTTGGGCGAAGTGGACCAAATGTTAAAAGTTTTGAAACCATAGGGACCATCTGTGAGGTTTTTTGAACTTAGGGATTAAACTTGATATTTTCGAAAATCACAGTGACCATTTTTGAAGTTTTATCTTTATTTAGTTTACTGATTTCAGTTTTTTAATTGATTTATATGTTTGTGCGTAAGTTTATTTAATCTTCTTTTTGTAATTATTCTTTTGGAAACATGATATAACTTAGTTATTTTATCATTAATGAAAATATAATTGCATTTAATTAAAATATACATTCTACATTCTTAACCTTTTAGAATGAAGTATATTTTTATTATTTTATTGTCTTGCTACCAATATTTTTTATGGATATTATTTTATTTTTGTAAACAACTCTATGATCATACTGAAAATAAATATTTATGTTAGCAGTTGATCTTTTTATTATAATAACGTAACCAAGTCGATGCTCCGTCTTTTTTAACTCGGTCTATTAATTGTTCACGAGAACTAAATACCTGGAAATAATTTTTTTTATTAGAAACTACTACTTTTACCGATTAATAACTGTACTAATAAATCTAAAACTTTTACCATGTCATTTTTCAAAATTTCATGTGTCACTAATGAAGTAATTTATTTTAATATCGTCATCGTGAGGTGCATTGCTAGTATGAATATTGTTAGCCTAATTAATACATATAAATATGAATATATATGATATACATAAACATAAATATCTTAATAATAATAAATGAACATAACTCGTAATTTATTTCATTAAACGATGATAAATACCCGTGTTCGTTTGTTTAGTTACACGGACAAAAATCATGTTTAGATTCGTTCATTTATTAAATAAATGAAAATAAATAACCTTTTTGTCAAACTGAATGTTTGGATATGCGTTCGATTTGTTTACCTTAAATTTTTTATAATAACTCTAAATTTTAAAATACAAAATATTAAATTATATTTAATAAAACTTTTTTAGATATTACAAAATATTTTATTTGTATTTTAATTTTAATATAAATTAAATAAAAATCTTTGTAAATATATAATTATTAAGTTTATAATAAATTATTTTAATTTAATGGTAAGGTTAATTAATAAAAATTATAAAATATAAAGGTTTAAAATAAAACTTTGATATGTACTAGGGGTTAATATGTAAATAAAATAATCAAATACAATTTTAGACGTTTGAAAGCTTCGTAGGTGGTGCGCTTAAAATCCCCTTCCAAAACATTTTCTGGCGATACAGCGACGAAAGCTTGAAAGTATCAATTGAGTCCAATCCAGAAGTTGTATCCCCAGTTCCTCATCATCAACGAACCAGGTAAGCCATTAACCTCCCCGATTTTCCTTCAATCATCATCGTGATTTCCTAATCCTTCACGAACCCTTCTTGCCCTACCCTACTCACTTCTCAAAATTGTTCGGATACTTGTAAATTAACATCTTCCGCGTGTTCAATTACCATCCCGTTGAATTTCCCTCATGTTTTTGGAAGTACATTGCATCTTCAGAAATTTGCTAATTATTAACGGGTTTCTTTCTTTCGGTTCAATTAGGGATGGAGGAGCAGTTTGTACTGAGAGTGCCTCCTTCTGTTGCTGAGCGTATAGATCGTCTTTTAAACGAGACAGCTTCTTCCTCTCATGACCAGTCACTTAATTTGTCTTTCTCCGGTGAGATTACTGAATTTGCCTTTGTTTATTTATGAATCTACTTTGTTGATGTGTTCAACATGGCTGTTAAATGCAATTGGATCTTATGGTGTTTGTTCGTACCTGTTGAAAGGGTTTGCTTTTGTTATTTTTGCAACTGAGTTATTGATGAATGTCAACCATTTTTGCACATTACAGAGGATGGGAGAAATGGCACATTTGTTATAGGAGATGATCAATTTCCTGCTTCCCTCTTGGATCTTCCTAGTATTGTAGAATCATACAAAACTTATGATGACAATGTTCTGATCAAAACAGCAGATATTGGACAAGTAAGTGGTGTTTGTATATTGTAAGCTGTGTATTCTACATCACATGGATATTATTTCTATATTCATGACAGGATTATAATGTGACAGATGATTATGATCAGGGAAGATGGTGATCCTGCTCCAGATGGCATGGAGTATCGCCATGGTGTTACCCCTCCAATGAGAGATGCCAGAAGGCGAAGGTTTCGCAGGGAGCCTGATTTAAATGTACGCTTTTGCACTTTAAAATTCAAATTACCTTTTTATCCTTGATGTCAATCTTTAATGATGTTTGCATCTTTATATCCATTGCAGCCTGAACTTGTTCAACGAGTTGAAAAAGATCTGTTGAACATCATGAATGGTGGAACTGCTGGAAATTTTGATATCCTTTTATATCATCATCAATTTTAATTCATAATATGTTGAGAAATTGTTTATCTAGAATGTATTCTTTGACACGTGGTTTGTTTCACATATGGATATGAATGAGCAAGATGAAGTTGGAGAAGAAAGTGCTCGTAACACTATGAAGAAAGCAGTTGCAACACCTGCAACAAAACCTGATGTTTCAGAAGCTGGAACAAATGCTGGGGAGCATGAGAGAAGTGATTCTGATGAGTCTGATTATTCAATATGAAATATAATTTGAATTCAACTCAAAAGGCTTCTTATTCTCATTGTTAGATGCCAATTTGCAACTTGTTTTTTTCCCTATGTTTTTGGCATTCTTTGGTAGATGAGAACTCTATTTACCTATATTTTGATTGACTATTAAAGTATTTGGTTAACTGTTGATTCGTGGTGTATATATGCCTGTTTTTGTTACTAAAAAGATAAATAATACAAATACAAAATGTAACAAAAAAGTAGTTATTCATCTATTAATCTAAAACAAACCACATATGAATGAATGAATGGTATTTTCATCAAACTCAACATAGCCCATCTATTAGTAGAGAGAGAAGTGTGGGATGTGGCGTGGAATAAAACTCAACATTGCCCATCTATTTATACATACGGGAAAAGCTATTTTTAGAATGACCAAATACCCCAAATTACTAGCTGCTACAATGGTAAATTCATAATGTATATAAAACTAAAACTACTTTAATTCAATTTCACTTAACAAAACCTAAGCTACTTTAACCAATAATAAAAAAAAGCCAGTTAATACCGAAATGATTTTTAAAAAACAAAAAACGGTTAAAACCGGCTAATGTGGTGCAAAAAGTGAGGCCCAATCCCAAAATCCGTGAACGGTCTTATTTGTGCCTATTCCCAAAAATCATTATTCATTAACGATATAATCTGGCCTTGTAACATGTGGTTATGAGAGCATGTTTTTTTAATCAAATTTAAACTTTTCTGTACATAATATCAATTAATAATAACAAAACATTTGCACTGAAACACAAAAATTGGCTTTTAACCGATTCAATAACCGATGGATCTTTCTATAACCTGGACCGGTTTTTCAAATTTGGTTTGGTTAGAATGCATAAGTTAAAGGCTTATGGGCTAATTTTCATTTTCTATCACCCAATTATTATATTACAACTTGTTTCAAACAAAAACTCCGAACATTTTCAAGGGAAGAGTGCTGATTGGAGTGTTTTTTTCTTATTTGTAACAAGTTGTAATAAATAAGAATCTAGGAACAGAAAATGAAATTAGCCCCATAAGCCTTCGACTTAGGCTATCAATAATTTTTATCATGATTTTAAGTAGGAGGCGAGTTTGCTAATACCCAATTTGTGGCCCAAAGTATAATCCTCAATTGATCGAATCTTGGATTGGCCCACACAATCATCTAGTTTACACAAAAACCATCAAAGCGCCTACACATTTAATTTAGGGTATGAACAGCTTATGGTTTCATGAGGATGACAGCCAGTATAATCTGTAGTGTTGACCAATTTTTACCATATATGCATAATTATTGTCATAACAACCAATATTATCATGTTATCCTTCAAAGAGCATGTGGTATGCTAGTCGCTAGTTTTGACTTGTTAATTTGATTTTAAACTTATTTAGTCCATAGGATATAGCTTTTTTTATTAAAGCATATGATATGCCATTGCATTATGGTAATTAAATATTGGTATTTGGTGTATATGGTGTATTTGGTTATAGTATTTTATATGTGCATGAAGCATGCTTTGTGGCTTTGAGCCATAGTTGCACAAAAAGAAACAAAAGTGAAAGCGTATATGCCACCATGCATACACGTTGTGTTTGACATTTTGACAACCCCATAATGATAGTCAATACAATACTACTAGGGTTGGCTGGAAAGGTGTTTTCTGCATCCTTCTGGCTCACCCACTTTGTACAACTTTTACTTCACCCTTTACTGATCTTCATAGCATGATTGTCGGTATATGGATTTACGTTGTTGAAGCTGTGTGTGTGGAAAGTAAACGCCTCGTGGATAGAATTCTTTTTGGAAATTGTATTGCAATTGGGGGCTTTTGTGTCGGGATGGTGGGTCAATGGATTTGGTTATCGTTTTGACTTTTTGTATCTTCTAATCCCATGATTTGACTATGATTGAATGAAATTTTTAGACATAATTGTTATCAACACGGCTAAAAATTATCAAATGAATCATACAAATAGTAAATGGACGTACCCATGATAACTCTTAATTTATTTTGTTTTTATTTTTTTTAAGGACATATACATTAAAAAAAATACTAGCAAGAAGATAGACAAAACAAAGTACAAACATTACAAATTACAAGCTTGAAAAGGAGAAATACACCAAATGGAACCAACTAATAAAATTAAAATGAGATCTATGTTTAATCCAATTAAACGCAATCAATTGTAATCATCTGCCGTCTTCATCGGAGAACATCTCAACTTATTGAAAATCAAAAAGTTGCACATCTTCCAAATCACCCAAACCAAAGAGTAAAAATATGGAATACTTAGGGTGCGTTTAGTTGCGGAAAAATAGGCCGTTTTCCGAAAAAAATTTCCAAGAAAAATGAGAATTTTGAAAACGCGTTTACTTCGTCTATTTTCTTAAATTTTTCACGGAAAATTAAAATTTTTCGTTTTCTAAAATTACAAAGAAGTTGGAAATTTTTGGAAAACCGATAATCATTGTTTTCCATATTTTTCTGAATTCAAAATTTTTCTAAAATATAAACACACACCCACTTCCACCTCACCCACCTCTACCTACCCCACCTTAACACCCTAACCCACAACACCCCTACCTACCCACATCCACCCACTTCCAAGCCCGCCCCACCCCCACAAACACACACACACACATCCCCCCCGACACACACACAAACACCTACACATACACCCACACACATACCCCCACACATATACCCACAAATACATACACACCCACACACCCACAAACACATACGCACACCCACCCACCCACCTACAAACACCCCCACACACCCACCCACACCCACCTACCCATCCCCACAAACACATACCCACAAACACTCACACACACACACACCCAACACTACTATCACAATCTCCGACATACCATCATCATCACCACCACCACTACCCCGTCATCACCACCGCCGCCGCCGCCATCACCACCACTGCCACAATTGCCGCCGACACCACCACCACCACTGCTGCCGCCGCCCCACCCTACCACCGCTACCATTTTCTAAAAATGAAAACCGATAGAAAAATACACATCTAAACACGTTTTCTAATTTTCTAAAACTGAAAATGAAAAATGAATAAGTTTTAACTAAAAGCATTTTCTAAATTTTCCAATGAAAACTTAAAACGGAAAACAAAAACTGAAAAGGGAAAATAAAAAACGAAAAATGAAAACTATTTTTCCATAACTAAACACAACTTTAACGATTGTGTAATTCTATTTTCGATTCTCAGGTTAAATGAAATCAGATTTTGAAGAGTCCAATAAATTACTCTCTTCATTTTCATGCAAAAACAAGAGACATGGAAATAAATATGCTTTTTTCTATGATCCGTTGTGGTAGACTATTCCCATTCGAACTCAATCATGGGTGTTGTCCTTGGATTCTCATGCTCTTACTCTTAGTATCAAACCAGAAACGTGCACTTTGTACAACCTGAATTCACAATATAGCATAAATCTTGCTCAACATGTATTGAATTTATCTCACAAATTAAACGATTCATTAGAAATAAAATCACTAACAGTAAATTTAGTTTTAGTCATATATATTACAAATGGCGTTTTAAGCCAAGTATTTGACAATGAAGACTTCTTATTTGGAGCAAGTAGATTTTTTTATATAACCTTCATTAACAAAACATTAGTTCCTTTTTACTTATTGTTAACGTATCCCTTAGGGGGGACGTCAAAAAGGAGAAGTCAAACTAGCACCGAGCTTGGCTTGGGCAGAATCTAATCAGACCCAGTTTGAGGCCAAGGTCGGGCCTTCGCCAATGCGAAAGCCACAGGCATGACTGTTATGGTGCAGAGCCGCGCCCTAACCTCTTCACCAAGGAATAACACCCCGACAAACGTGGGACCAATCAGAGTGTCCCACGTGCCCATCAGACGATATCCACAAACCTCGTAATAACTAAAAGATCCTCCTCTAGCCAATAAGGGGATGAGGTAAAAAGACGTGGCGAAGGATCCTCCAGTAGGGGGTCCGCCACGTCACACCTCACGAGGGAATGTCTAACGGAATCAGTTGAGAGGCACACGCCTCTCAACCAGGTAGAAAAGGACCCTTCTTCCTCATGGAGAGGGGGACGAAAACACTTTTTCCTGTGATTATACTCTCTTTTTTCTCAAAACAAATACTGTCTTGATCGTCGGAGCTTCGTCCCGGGAATTCCTCCCAGACGTCGGCTAACGATCTTCTTTCTATTTTATACTATGATATCTGGAGAAGGCATCAACACGAAACTCACCGACAATCTCGATACAACCACTCCGACATATCACAACATTTGGCGCCATCCGGGCGTATCTCTAGAACGATACATCCACAAAACAAATCCAAAGAGCAACAATGGCAGGCGAAATCCCAATAGTGTATGGAACACTGGAGAGAAGTCCGCTGCATCACTAGAGGGAGGGCAAACTTCCGTTCAGGAAGGGCACACATCAAACCACACCCCAGTTTCACAAACGCCATCTAGTTCTGCAGCAGAGACGACAACAACTCTCACGGTCAGCTTATGGCGCCCAACAACCAACCCAATTCCACAAATGGCGATCGTAACCACAACTCCCCAAATTGTCACAACACAACAAACAGAGATCCCTGTTTCACAACAACAGTCTCTCACACATACCTCCGACACCGGGACATGGATCCCGTACACTATTCAACCACAACCACAATATTCCCCGATGGTCTACCCATATGCCACCATGGCAGGATTGCCCCACATGTCGCTATATGTATAAC